TTCTCGACTTCTTCCTATATAAGCCTACTGCTCGCAGTAGGTTTATTACTTGTTTTCTCAAAACCTTTGCACATTTCTTTTAATAAAATAAACTCAAGTCTTTTAATCGCTGAATTATTTTCGAATATTGAAATGTCTTTGTTTTTCACCCATATAGTTATGTAGTTTATAGTTAAATTTGGTTTATGGAGTTAAATTAAAATTTTACGCGTAGAGAGTTTTACCAGAAAGTAAAAAACAAAGGGCCGTTATATCCACTTTTGGATACTTGCTATCTTAAAGGAATTGTAACGAATTTGATCGGTTCGGAATTTTGAAACAAACAAACATTTACACGTCTTAAATATTTGTGAGAACATTTCTATTTATTTCTGTGCTGACCACCAATGAAAACTTGCGTCTCCTTTTCGGTTTCTTTATCAATTTTGGTTCCAGTTTGTGTTCCAATAACCGGCGGCGCTTTGGCTTTCGCTTTGACGAACAAGTGAATATAGGTAACTCCACGGAAAGTATAACGTTTTCAACATATTAGAGTATTTCTGTTACATATTTCGTGGTATACTTTGACTTAAATATATGAAATCTGGGAAAAAGATTCGGCAGTTTTTTTTTTTCCCCTTCTTTTTGTGAATATGACCAATCATTTAGGCAATGTCCCCAATTCGTGTAAAACGGTGACGATCAGAAATAAGTGATGAGAGAAGAAATTGTATGCCTTTGCCGACTGACCACTTACTATAACTACAACCAAAGTAAAATCTGCTGCACTTGGGATTTGAACCCGCGGACACTGACTTCTCGGGATTCTTACCTAAGGTGCGGAGAGTTATGACAATTGAGTTTGAATACAATTAGCTTGCCATTAACACTGAAATTGCTTTGGATTTGCAGAAGCTAAAAAGACGAAGCCATGAGTCCTTTCCTAATTTTTCGCATATGATCCCCCGCACCATTATATATTAAGTTTGTGGGAATGTGCACAACACACTCCCGGTCTAAGCTTGCTTGTGCGTTTGTCCGTTAGATATTCTTCGGTTCGGTCTAAAGTGTTTTGATGATATTTAGTACATCGGCGTGTTTTGATCCAAGGATGAACTATATTAACAATGGCCATGTAACGTGAAAAAGTTGAAAAGTTCTCGCAGGTATGTCTATGTTAAGAGGTCTGGTGTAGAGTATTTAACGGGGTTCTTTTTCTCCTTTTTTCTTTAAAAATCGTTAGAACACGTTAGGAAATCTGAAAATCGAACTTGGGCCCGTTAAGTTCGAATGTAGTGTAGTAGTGTAGTTCGAGCGTGAAGTGAGTGAACGAATACACTCTTCATGAAGGGTCGACTTTTTAAGGCTAATAATATTGACTCTCTAGAAACCTTTGCAAAATCTGAGACTGAGATTTACTTCTTATTAATTGTTTTCATCGATTTCGGATCGCTATAGAATTTAATTTATTTATGTCAAAACTGAATTGGTTGGTTACATATATGTACGTATTGTTTTTTAGATGTGGACTAGGGCAAGGAAATACAGCTTATAGGTTCAGATTAACGAAAAATTATAACACTTCGATAGTTATATGCGATCAGATTAATTCCTATTCCTATATAAATCAAAAGATGTCTGATCATATGGAATCATCTGGTTTGCAGAAGAAGAAGTATTTTTCATTTATCTAAAAAGTATTAGATTATATGGCACAATTTATGAATACGAAAAGAATTTGTACTCTTTCTTTTTGCGTAGTAGGTAGTTGTAGATAATTTATAAAATGGTTGAAAATCATCAAATATTTGTATATATTTCTCATAATATATAAAAATTTGCGAATTTATGGACAAAAAATTCGAAGCATAACAACTTACACCTTCTAAAAGCGAATTTTAGGCGTCTATCACTTTATTTTTATACCCTGCACACTACTTCTGGTACACGGGTATGTTAAATTTGTGCGGATGTATGCAGAAGTCAAAAGGACTTGAGATAGATACACATTTCATTACACCGATCGATTCAGAGTCGTTTTGTGTAGCGATTTAAACTTGTCTGTCCGTCTTGCTTTCTTGTATTTACCCTACAGGTGGAAATTTTCGATATATGTCGATGAAAATTTATACACAGTCATGTTTTGGCTTAACAGCAAAAGCTATTGAAAATGATTCTGACCAGAGCATATTTTCGACCACTTCCAATATAAGGTCTTACTTACAACAGTCAGTATATGAACAACTATATATAATTGAAATGGTGGCCGAAACTTGGTTCATTGACGTGTTTTGGTCCATAGATGAACGCTATTGGAATTTGTTCAGATGGGAGCATACTTTCGATCTCTTTCAAATAAGGTCTTACTGACAAAAGCTGTTATATGAACAAGTGTATTAGGCGAAATGGTGTAGGGTACTTAATGGTGAGCCGTTGGGCACATTTTCCAGCAAATTTTGATTTCATGAATGCGGTAAGAGCAAAAGACTGACTAACACTCGGACACTGCTACATCAATTCTGATTACTCCTATGTCTATACAAATACCATCAGTACGTATTCGTCTCTGTACATGTTTCTCTTTCGCTTTTGCTTTTCTTCTTGCAATGTAATTTTTCTCTTATTCATTTCAAAAAAGTTCATAGTAAAAAATTTTGAACAAAGTCTTAACTGATCTAAAAATCCTATGCAAGTTTGGAATCAAGATATGGTAAAGGGTTACAAGCATCTCAAACGCATAATGGTGATGTAACACAGAACAATGTACTTCAGTGGTAGTGGAGTTGAAAGAAAAAAAAAAAAATGTAATTAAAAATAAAAATAAAATATTTTGTGATGTTATAATGTGACATACATTTCTTATAGTTATAAATTGTTGAAATTCATTTAGAATAATACTAATTGTGATCAGGCAACAAATTATTGCTTTGAGTTCATATAAAATGAATCAAGTATTTTTACAAAATTTTTTGTTTTCAAATTTAAAAAAAAAAACAAAATACAAAAACTAAGGAATAGACGAACAGGTAATTACAACCTTCTTATTAAATGGAAAGTTTTTTTTTTTTAATTTTTTGTGTGTAAAATGTTTTTTTATTTCTTTTTAATATTATAACCACTTTTTCTTTGATAATAGTTTGAATTTAATGTTGAAGTGAAGAAGTAAGTAATGTAAGAAATGCAAGTAATTTTTTTTTTGTTGTGAGCATAAAGATTATGTGTATAGTGAGGAAATTATTTTAATTTTTTTTTTTTTTTTTTTTTTATGTACGAATATGCTGTGTTTTATAATCATTTTATTATTATAAAGATTTAGATTTTCTTACATGCAAAATATTTACAAACGTTTGAGTTTAAAAAAAAAAAATATCAAAAGAAAAAAAAAAAGGAAAAAATCACATTTTTATTTAGTATTATTTCGATAAAAAGACTTTTTTTTTTTTAATTAACAAAAATAAAAGAAAATGTTATCATATTTATGGCGAAATGTTTTGATGTTCAAGTTCAACGCCTAACGCATATTTTCATTGATCTATATGTTTACTTAATTTTCAACTAATTGATATCAGCTTTTTTATAAATGGCATTTCACATTCGATATGTTATCGCTTCGTTTGCCAAAAGACATAGACAAAAAGGAAGGCATACGTACAAGTTGATTAAAATTTATATTTTGAAAATGCTACCTATAAGAGACCATTAAACAGCTGATCGATTCTTTTATACGACTGGTTAGGACTTTTATCATATCGACCCTTCAACTCATTCTAAATATTTCTTTTAAATTTTACATTGATAGATGAATAGATGGTATGTTGAAATTTTCAAATTAAAATACTTGTCTTCAATGTCCTATCTTAAATCCTCGATGAAAGCGGGCGGCTTGGGAAAGAACGGAGTCACAGACGAACAAATATTGCTAAATCGGACTTTACACTGTTTAATTACATCCAAATCTTTTTTTACACGGTAAATAGATTCCTTTGAAATTTTTGCAAAAAATATTGGGAAAAAAATACTGGCGAGATATGGTAAATTTGGAGACATCTTCCACGACTTTGAAGTATTGTGTACGACTAAGAAGCTCTAAATATTTTTCCAAAAAAAGTATTAATCAAACCCATATTATATATGTACAAAGAAATAAATAGTAGTACGTTGAAAATTCAGTCCATAAGTACAAGGTATAAAAATTTCAATTGAAACTAGCGATAAAAATCAATTACGCAACCGTTCATCATTGCTTGCGTGTGTGTTTATTGCGGACGGGACCAAAAATACTATTATTAGTAGATATATTTACCACAACTGTCGGATTTGAATCAAATTCCCCGTACTAGACCAAATCAGTAATACATGTGTGGGTATAGACCGACCGACTTCTGATCGTGGTATTCCCCAAATTGTATTCTATTGTGGTGTAGATAAGTTTCTGTAAGACTCTATTAAAATTATAATTAAAAAAAACTTTTTTTTTTTTGGGTTCGTGCAAAAAACTGTATCTTTTCTTACTGGCGAACCGTGTTATTTCAAAATCGGTTAAAAAAAACCGTATAAAAAGAGTTGGGTGAATATCTACGTTTATACATTTTGTAAAGTCTTCAATTTCTACAAATTTTAAGAAGAATAACGTATCTAGTAGATATCCATCTTTCCATGGTGGATGTAGTTTGTTCAAAGGTAATGGCTATTTATTCTCAGACTGATTAATTTACATTTTTATTACATAACGTATTGTAATGGGTGACTGACAGCAAAGCAAGTATACCGTTAAGACATATAAAAGAGTTTTCATTAAAAAATTTTCCTTAAAACTTGAACTGTACCTTAACAACAATATTTTTTTTTTTAAAAATCTTAACAGGTGTAAAAACTTTTCCTTTTCTGCCATTTATGGTTCATGTAAAACTCTCTCTAAACAATTTTGCTTTAGAACTCTTGATATTTTTTTTACTTTTTTTTTTTTTTGTGTTTATTCTTTGGATAAAAAATATATTTCTGGGTTTGGATGTCTTTTTTTATTTAAAATTTGGTGGTTAAGGTGTTGCTTTCGTTTGTCTGTTGCTGATGTTGATGTATCTGTTTCTCTTTGAATTTTGCAGTTTTCGTTGTAATCGTTATGCGTGGCGCTTGCCTAAATATAACATTTAATGTTGATGTCGCCACAGCGGCCAATTTATTCGTTAAAAATACTGGTATTTTTAGAGTTTCCTGTTATTGTTAACATTCGAATTCGTTGGCAGTTATGGCACTCAAATCCTTCATTAATCCCTCCAAATTGGCCATCTCTTGATTCAGTTCTTCGGTTGAGGTACTCGGCGCTAATCGCTGTATTTCATCGGTGCTATGAGCAACCGATGGGCAACCTTGCAAACGATTCGGTGTAGCAGCCGAAAATGATGGCTTCTTATAAGGTGATTGATTTTGTGGACGTATTGTAACGGCAGGTGCTAAAAGAGAAGAATGATTTTAATAAAAGTGATATTAATTGTTATTTATCGAAAATAATATTAAAGAATGAACTACCGTTAACTTGATAAGTGATTTTGAAAAAGAAACATATCCGTAGTTGAAAACCGATTAAATTTTTCACTTTTTCTAAAGATTCTTGAACTCAATTATTCAATCATTTAAGCATTCATTGATCCATTGAATTATTCATTCGTTGCTTAAACGGTATTGATTACTCGATTAATTAATTAATTGCTTAATAAGCTGTTATTCTTTTTATCAATTTTTCTATAACTTTAATTTTACTATTTAAAGATGGTTCCTTCGGAAAATAAATGTAATTCGCCTTAAAATAACTTAAATCACTTAAGCAATTAGTAATCAATGAAGTTCTTAATTATTTAAATTATTTAAAGACACTTTTTAATCTTATTATTATTATTAATAAATTCTAAGGATAAAGTCTTAAAACAATGGCATCTAAAGCTATCGTCTTTATTGAAAACCTTAGCGTACTTGCGGGATGTGAACCCATAAGCATTGAGTTGTTAGTTGACACGCTCGGCCACTTAGGCGGCTTTTCTTTGTGTTCATTTTCAAAATATTATAAAAAATATTTAAAACCAAGTTTGGCTTAGCTTATGCAGTGCGTTCACAATATTCTCGACATAGTTTCAGCGAAAACTTTTTTTTTAATTTCAATCTTTAAATTCTACTTTTGAAATAGTATTTTAGTTGCCAATAAATTCCTCTTTTGCCAATGAGAGTCATTAATAACTTGGCGGAGTACTTGGAACAATTCTCTTTTAAAATATTTGAACGGTTGAACTTACTAAGTTTGTTAATTGGAGTTGAGGCGCCTGTAGGTGGTGGTCCAGGCACACTGAAACTTTTTAATGGATGTCCTCTTTTGCTGCTCTCTATGGTGGATACTCCCCCATTACTAATAGCACTCGAAGCATTAACTATCCCAACGGCAGCACCACCGCCACCTGCTGATCCAGGGCCGTTAGCGTTATTTGGGTAACCTGTGTTACTAAAAAAAAAAAAAAAAAAGAATAATTACTACCCGCTAGTAAAAAATCCTAATATCCAAGTACCAAAAATTAGCATCATAAGCCCCATAAGGATGTTCGGGTGTTTGGGCTAATGAATTATTTTGCGTCTGCGTTAAGCTTTGCTGTGAGAGACCTGTATCGACGTTTATATGTGGACGATTGGCGGAGATATTGTATTGCGTGCGGGGATATTGGGGTCTTTCCATGGTAGAGTTCATTGAAGTGGCTGCTTTCATTGCAAAAAAAAAAAAAAATTATTGAAAAAAAGTTCTAATCTAACAAAAAAAAAACAACAATTTCATCTTACTCATATAACCTGGCACATAGGACCGTTTGTCCAACGAATTAGTAATATGATTAGGTACCGGGGTATCAACATCGTAATCATGGCCTACAGAACGAGGTAATGTTAAGGCTCCGCTGCTGGAAGCACCATCACTGCAACCTATTGTAAACAACATAGAAGAATAATTCTTTTTATATTTAAAAAAACTTTTCCTACCAGGTGTTGATCCATGCATGTTTTTATCGATATTTTTCAATTCCATTTGATCATGATGGATCCAGAGATCGGGTGGTTTTGGTACACCTACACTATTCTTTTGATAGCTATTCGAGGATGGGAGGCTAAATGAAAGTCTGTTTAACTGTTTTTTTTTTTTTCATTTTTAATTCTTTCATAATATACCTCTTCTTAGTATGCTCCGGAGATGTGGGCGGCTTGCGACGACACATTATTACCATGACCAAAAAAACTATGAACAGAACCAAAGCAAACCCAAATACCATAACGTACAAAATCATCTCGTTGTTAATACCCTTAGCTATTTGATTATGCTCTTTCTTGACAACTGCCGCTCCCGTGGTATGAGCAACCAAGGCGGAGAACGGAGCGCTATTAGCGCCGCCTCCCATAATACTGCCGACTTTATTAATTCTGGCCTGTACCTTGAAGTAATATGTAGTGATTGGTTTTAAATTAGGTAACATGAAAGAGGTCTCTTCTCCCGTATAAGTTTGTATATTCCAATCACGGTCACGTTTATTAGTATCGGTGGTGTAGTAAATATTGTAACCACTTATTGGAAACACAGTGTGTTTGGGTGGCAACCATTGTAATAAAATATTTAAAGGATTTTGTTCATCCGTTTGGACGGTTAACTCGCGCGGCGGCGTTATGGGTATATTTTGATAGGTTGTATTCAACACGGCCATGGACCAAGCTGATTCGCGTCTACCCTTAACCACTTTAACCGAAAACTCGTATTGAGTATTTGGTCTTAAATCCATAATCATCGTGTTCAGATCGGTAGTATTATGATAACGATATCTACTTGAGCTTGATATGCCATACCGTACAATATAGTGACGATTATCAGTTACATGTTGATTTTTATTTAAAGTAGTGTCTATCCAATAGACCACTATAGAGGAACTAGACATTGTTATAGCTCTTAAGCCGACGGGCACTTCTAATGGTGTCGGTATGTCTATAGGATCTTCATCACGCGTTTTGATATTATCGTAGATGGGTGGACCGTCACCATTAATATTACGCGCTCTTAAACTAACAACATATTCTGTATTTGGTTCCAGATCTTTCAAGACATAATAACGTTCCGTTTCCTTAAGCTCTACAGTATTCTCATCTGGTATACCGCGACCCCATCCTAGGACATAGCTACGTATTTTTATTTCGTGTTGATGCGGTGGACCCCAATGCAGGGCTATTGTTTCTGCCCCTGGATGTATACCCATCCATACTGGTTTTCCCGGTACCTGAGTCTCATCCAAATCGTTTTCCAAAGTCATTACACGATACCATTCGGTAAAGGGTCCCGATCCATTAACTGTCATGGCCGCTATTTTCACTTGATATTCGGAGTTACGATCTAATCCATTCAGTTCATAATAGCGAATGTTTGCAGGAGTGCTCTTAACTTGCGGAGCATCTTTGAGTTTGCGATAACGTATCTTATAACCGGTTATTTGACCATTGCGTTCTTCTTCGGATGGAGGTTCCCAGTGTATAGTGATGGACTAAATATGCCAAAAGAATGAAAGTGAAATAAGAAGAGATAAAATGGAAAATATAAGTGAAGAAAAATTGCGAGCAAAGTAAGATTGCCACGTTGTGTGACTGTACTCTCGAGGAATCGAGAATGCTTTCACTGCATACAGCTAACGGTTTTTTTTTAAAAAGGGAAAATCTAAAAATATTAGCGATCCCATCTAATCTAATCATAGATGTGTGTGTAACAATACCTGGCATAATGTATTACAATATTTTTTTTTATAACTTACCGTTGAACTGGTTACTTCTAAGGTAACATTATTCGGTGGTTCTGATGGTGTAGAAGAAAACGTTTTCACTTTAATCTCTTTGGAAGGATCGCCCATACCATTCTTATTAAAAGGCACTACGGAAATGGTGTAATCGGTGTATGGTCTCAATTCGGTCAGTAAAGCATCCAACGCGGTGCTATCGTGATACATTTCTGCGCCATTATCACCTTCGGCATAATAAATACGATATTTTAAGATTTCGCCATTAGTTACACTTGGCTCATCCCATTTGACATAGATTTCTTTATGATTGCGAGCATAACCCTCCACATTACGTGGAGGGCCGGCTATATTTTCTTCAGGTTGTGTGACCACTTCTAAAGTATCGGAAGAATCACCAGACCCGAAATTCGTATTCGCCACAACACGAAAATGATAACTTCGACCAGGTATTAAAGACTGTATGCTCAGTTGCTGTTCATCATGGGACTTGGTAACGATTTTTTGCTCTCTATATAGGAAAAAAAAAAAAACACGAATTAAGAAAAGATTTTTGTCTTTAAAACTTTTACGCTCAAACGATTTTACTTAAAAATAAAAGAAATAATAAGAGACATTTTAAAATCTTTCGTCTTTCTTTCATTTATTTGTTCTTTTATATCTTTAAATTTCTCGTCAAGACAAATATATCAAGAATTCTTCTCTTCTTATTTCTCTTTTCCAAAAGAAAAGCAAAAATTATTGTTTTTTTTTTTTTTGATACGAATAAGAGTGAGGTTCAAGTATCCGTAAGATGGCTCACCAGCGAAGGGTACGCGAATGCTTTCAAGCGTAATAAGTAGGTATGTGTTTATGTCCATCTATTGCCTTTCCATGAAATTTACGTTTAACGATTTTAAAGATCTTCAATTATTCTTCCTATTTGCACAGGTTAGCTTGTAGTTAGGAGGAGGAAAACAAAATCCTTCGAATAGTTGGTTCGGTCGTTTATTTTCCCGACATTACTCAACAACATAAAATCCTTATTAAAAGAAAACAATTTGAACAATAAGGCAGAGAGAAAAAAAAAAAGAAAAACACGACAATATCATAGACAACGAGCAATTGAACATAGAGCGCTGACAATAACACTGCTTGTAATAAATTAAATTCTTTTCTTCTTTGACTGCAATTTGGCAAAAACAGCATCGTATAAATTGAATGAATGTCGACGGCCGCCTATGGTACGTGCTAGAAAGGACAGAAATATGCGTTCGAGAATGGAAAGCAAATGTAGAGGATTAGTCATAAAGCAATTGACTATATATATATATATATATATATATATATATATATATATATATATGTATGTATAGAGTAATGTACTCGTAACAGTAAACTGTGAATATTTGCAAAAAAAAAAAAAAAAGGCTGAGGAAGCATTTGCCAAAGGGACAAAACAATGTTAAGCAACAATTATAATTTGAATTCCTAGAAGTTCGAATTAAGTTATTTGAGAAGATTATTCAAAATTAGTCAATGAATGAAATATTCATTGCAAATTCCCAATACACAATTCTTGCAAATAGACTTTGTATTTTTATACCCTACACCGCGTTTGGTACAAGATTTGTGCTAATGTATGCAATACTCCGAAGGACTTGAGTAAACTCATCTTTTATTGTACCGCTGGAATCGGTATAATTTTTTGAATCGATTTTAGCTTGTCTGTCCGCCCTCTGTCTGCCTTCTTGTGTTCAACGTCTCAGGCTGCAATGTATGCGATATTGATGCAATTTGCCACGCCCAAGAATGACAAGGGTCATCGTCCATGGATATATATACAACATTCTACACCATGTTGCTCGACACAATTTTTCAGCTTCATATAATGTGTCAAAAATCGCAAGTTGTTCCCGTCTAAACATCCATTTTTTTTATAAAAACTTTTGTATTTGAAGAAATCCGAGAAGTATACCAATGTTTTTTAAACTTATTGCAGTATAATTATATATTAAATTCCTATTCTTGAATCGGTTTCCGTTATAGAATACTAAAAAGTAAACTTTGCCCTTTTCCCTAATGCTAGGTCTACGGAAACAGAGTAAATTTTCGGCAATGTCACAATGGCAACAATGAAAATAGGAAAACTTGAAGACTTGAAATTTGGAAAAAGTATTCCATATGAAATTAAAAACTACGTGTGATCTGTTCGCAGACACGCCCCCAATGCAGAAGAACCTAAAACAAATTCCGAAAACGCCGATAGATGTCCCATATTTTCACCTATAACCATAACCTCAAATTGCACCAAACTAGCAATAGTGGGCGTCCTGGAGAAAAAACAGGGCAGACATACTTGCTGCATTACATCACCAAAAATCAATATAGAGCATCTAAACATATCGGCTTCCTTATGTCAAATCAAGTTGATAGGTGCCGTAAGGCTAAACGTAGTTTTCATAACGTATTTTACAGTGGGTCTGGGCAAGATTTTGAATATCTTATATCGTCGTTCAATTTTGATCGAATGTTTATCGGAATTGGAAGAAATCTATCCCGATAAAGAAATGGAACGGAAGTACAATCTCGAGCATTATCTTAAACGATATAGGAGGGCCGAATACTTTTTCTGGAACTTTGCTATGTTTCTTATATCAGTTTATAACTTGGAGACTATTGTGCGTTCATTCTTGCAATTGTACCTTACGGGTCGTTACGGTTATTTGCTGTTAGTCCGGATTTACACACCGTTTCCTTACGATGGCAAGCTATTGGTCTACCTTTGCTATTTTACTTTGGGAAGCATAACTGGTGCTTGGATTGCCGTTATTATTGCCGCAACTGATTTATATTTACTTGGTTGCGTTTTACAATTGTGTTTGCATTTCGAATTGTTGACGAAACAATTAATGGAATTAGATACAAGGATATTGACTGAATCGGAAGCCATTAAAAAATTAAATGCTATCGCAAAATATCAAAGTGAGCTGATTAGGTAAATATATCTTTTCGATGAAGCTGTTAGTTAGTGATTGATTAATTTCTTCAATCTAAACAGATTGTCGCGAAAAGTTAATCGAACGTTTTCTGGCTCAATGATAGTCAGCAACAACTACCGCAGGTGCCAACCCTCCTAGAACGCTGCAAAAATTTCAAAATTGTATTGCTTTCTTAATTCCTAGTTGGCACAATTTAACACAAAAGAAATCCACTCAAGTAGATGCAATTGATTGTTTCACCAATGAATTGGTCTTAAGAAGATGTAAGAAGTGGGAAGAACTCAAAGAAAATGTATGTCAAAGTTTAAATCAAAAGGATTCTTCAGTTTCTTGTTCCACGACAAATTTGCGAGAAAGTATGCATATGATGTCAAAAGCCATAAAAACTGATTTTGAAGCCCTGCGGTCGCCGAAACTAGTTCTTGATATACGATCACTTTCACAAGCACAGCTAGATAATTTGCTCATATCAACAGTGGAGATAAAAAACAAGTTAGATTTTCTTTATTTAGTACAACAATGTATACGATGGCAATATTTGCCTTCTAATGAGGTATTGATCGCTTCTCTCAAATATCTAAGCACTCTATCAGCAGTACAGCAGATTGAGTCTTTTTTGGAAATTTGTAAACAACAAAAACACCCTTTGTTAGAAGCGTATACAGACTTTGCTCCATTTAAAGCAATGGCTTTATGGCGCCATGGTCGATCCGATATGGCACTAACAACTTTACATCAAGGCTATGACAAGGCATTGCAAGCGTTACACCACCAAGCGTTACATGGCCACCATCAAGAACTTCTTCAACATATTCAAGGCTATGACTCCAGTAATTTAATGGCAAGTAACGGTAATGGCAAACGAATGATTCGAGCTGCTTTTCGTACAATTATTGAGGAAACCTTGATAAAGAAAAGTGATGCAGTGTTAGTACATAGTTGTCAAATTTTCGATTAGTAGCCGGAAATTTACAGTCTTCCACTAAAATTGTAAATAAAGTACAAAGCCGTGTAAAACAGTAGGAAAAATCGATCTATGTATATATATATATTGTATCAATATATGAGTGCTACAATCTGGTTATATATTCATCTTACTATTAATTATTTATTGTTTGAATTATTATCATTATTATTAATTATTTAAGCAATAATGAATCAGTAAGTAAACGATTACAATTACAAAGTGCATTATTAATTGCGATCAATCAAGATTAAAATGGATTTATTATGCCAGTAAGCGTAGAAAATCTCTTTCGCCACAAATTAAAATACTAGATAGGATAACTCGAACAAGGGGGGATAAATACTTATTTTTGATACATTTATATAATAAAGAATATATATTACATTTCAAC